TTAAAACACTAATAATTAATCACACTGATTCACTTTATTTCGCTAAGAAGCTTCGCTTGTCTCGCCAAATCCAATACTTCCTCGATCGCGTATTGCAGCGCCTTTATATAGGGCTCTTCCACGAAAACATCCGGAATATTCGAGTAAATACGCGCGCCAACCGACCAAGCGCAGAAAGATCGAGTGTAGAGCTTCTAGAAAGTTTAGTTCTTCAATTTGATACTAGATGGCGCTAGTGCCGTCGACTTCGGCGCGTAACAATATAAAGGTTTGTAGGAAATGCTGTGAGCACTAAGCATACGGTGTTCACCTATTATTGAATGTGCACTTAGTTTATATTACTGTCTTAGAATTAAGCACATGTATTAGTGTAACATTTGGTGGTGAACCAAATAAAAAATAAAAATAAAAAAAATTAAATAAAATATCATTCCGTGGGTGTCGAGGTAAGTAAGAGTCGACGGAGAAAAACAAATCAGGAGATGGGCAGCATCGTCTTCGTGATAACGACTAAAAAAACTGTGGCAAATATCTTCCCCCCTCCCCCCTCCTAACATTAGGCAAATCTATACGGGACGCCTATGATCAGCAGTGGACTTTAGTAGGCTATAACGGTAACTATTAATATTGAGGCAATATATGGTAAAACCAACGTTCAGCAGTAGACTTATAATGGATGGTGATGGCGACGTACTATACAGGATGTTAGTGTCAACACCGTTATCCTTGAAACCAGTGGTTTGGTTTCACTTACAGAATGAAAATTCAATGAAAAATAACAATATTTTTTTAGTAAAATCTCAATTTTTCCTTAATTCCTCAATTTTTGCCTGTCCTAAGCCAGGATGTAAGTATGAAGGAAAAGTTACATCATAGGTTATGTGTACCTATTGTGTTTTTATTGGAATATTTTGTAGGTAGCTAGATGTCTTTGCAGTGATTACGTCACTCGGGCGCATATGGTATCCATGAATTTGGATTTGAAACTGTATAGTAAAATTGAATACATGTAAATAATTGCATGTATTTTTCTACTTTCAGAACCAGACTAAACAACACAGCTCAGCGGATCAGTAAGTTTAAATAGCAATTGGCTGGCCATATAGTTCAAATAACTGACAAACGATCCAGAAAATACGTTTTTCGAGTGTCAGCCCGTATCCCACATTATGGAATGACGACCTCGTAAGAGATACGGGAAGCCGATGGATCAAGTAATTATTTACAATTTAAATTTAAAACCACAAACAATAGGATAAGTTAACAAAGAATTAATTACTACAACATGTCCAATGAACTCAAACCTTCCCAAATTTTAGTTTTTTGCCTCCATATGGTATGGATCCTTTTTTTTATAAAATAAGTGTGACAAACGAGCACACAGTCCATCTGATGGTAAGTAGATGTTATGTCTCATCGACATCTAGATCTATCCTCGATTAAAAATCAAAATGTAAATGCGTTGCCACCCATAAGGACTACGACAAAATGCCTCGTTTCCTGAAAAAAAAAAGGTCTCCAGTTCTCTACACTCACCATACTAAATACAGCAGCATTGACCTTCCACTTTATGCTGGTATTCCGTGAAAGTGTGGTCTTACCCCGATCAAGCCGACCCATTCGTGCTACAACCATAACATAGCCGCTGCATGGCTCTAGCACTAAATCCTACCTAAATCCAACGTTCTTTTCAAATATAAGACGGATATACTGCTTATCTTTTTTTATATTATTGATAATTTAAAAAAAAACGATAATAAAACTTATTTCACGTCATAAAGGATAAGAGTTAATAAAAGTTCGATTTTATCTAAATCAATTATTTATCGTTGTCGAATATTAGACACTTTTATTCGCTATTCTAAACACCTTATGCGTGGTAGAGCCACGCTGCAGCTATAATAAAGTTGCGGCACGAATGGGTTTGCTCGACCGGGGTCGGACCACGCCCTTACAAAATATAAGCTTAGTTATATAATATAAAAGATTAGTAATAAGCACTTAATGAAGAAATTAGATGATAGTTAATAATGTTCAATTTGGTTACCTTTGCTGTTATTTTACTTATATGTTTATGTTATATATCTTTTGTATTTAATAATATATATATATATATATATATATATAAATATATTATTTTATTTAAAAGTTTATCAGTAGTTTTTCCCCCGATTTACTCCATAGTTCATTATATCTTGTCACCTATTACGTAATTTCCAGACGTCCCGGTTTGACTGGGAGAGAAAAAGCGCGGATTTAATGCCTATAGGTATATAGGCATTAAATCCGCGCTTTGTAATCCTTTTTATTAAGGTGCAATAAAGTATAAATAAATAGAAGCGTAAACGAGCAGCTTCAGCGGTTGGACTGTGTACTCGTTTACCACTAAAAGTGCGTAACTGTCTTAAGCTTTTCGTTTATTCTCGTAAGACTTCTGCTGACTAAATCCTTCAGTAACCATAGAAAACGATGATTTGAAAAATGCTATTATATCGCTTACAAACCCTAACTTAAAGGAATATTTTAAAATCTACGAAGATTTCGTCGTACGTAAAAAATAACGGGTAAGTTGCACTAAAATTCGAAAAGATACAAACTTATGCAGTAAAAGACGACATTCTTTAGGTTGATCAATGACCATAAATAAGAAGAGGAAGAGAGAGAGAGAGGGGGGGGTTAAAGAAACAAATAGTGTTCAAAGAAACAATTAGTGATTGGGCACTTTTAATTGACTGGGGTAAGGAGTTCCAAAGTCTTACTCCAATTACAGAAAATGATTTATCATAAATAGTCCAGGAGTGCACAAGACATTGGTGGGAAAGATATTCTTTAGGCCGTAAAGAAAAATTATGACAGAAGCTGAGCAATTTAAAACGTTTTTTTAGATATGAGGACTTGATATATTAAATAAGTCTCAGAGAGCGGAAAGTATTTTCCGGCGAATACGGATTCGGATGCACGTGAACTTAGTGTGATATTCTGAGACATGGTCATATTTAAGTAGCCCAAATATTAACCTTATACAGAGATTTTGGATTTCGCTTAAGTTTTTTCAGTTTTTTCGCGGTGATCATAGTCAAGAACAAGATGTAGCAAAGATTGTGCAAGCGTATGTTTGGTGGAAATGAGAAAAATGAGTGGGAAGCATATACTTCTGACATTTTACGGCACACTTCAATAATTTGAGGATTCCAAAAAGGCTGCAAATCAAGAGGATATCAAATTTTTTAACAACGTCGATATAAGGGAGGGACACAATTAAATACAACGGGTAGAAGATAATTTTTTTAACTCTAGAAATCATTCATAAAGTCCCTATAAATACAGCTTGTGATTTTAAAGTGTTCAACGTTAACCCGTAAGATCGACTTTATAGAATAGAATACATTCTCGACTGAAGTCGATCTTTCTAGCTAGATCCTTGTTGATACATACTGCTTTGGGAAGATCTTCTATAGTTTCATGGTTTCATCTCCAAATATACCGATCGACCGATAACCGACACATTCGTGCTACAAACGTAGAATTAGATATCATCTGTAAGTGGAAGAGAGGACATATTTGGGATGTAATCGTATTAATAAAAATTGGAAATAAAAGAGCAGATATGACGCCACCTTGTGGAACGCTAGCTACGATATCAAGCCACTAAAAACTCTATCTTGGACACGAATCTGTGCTGGCGCCCATATAAATAGCTATGAAACGAAGAAACTGCAGTTAAATATATGTTAAGAGAACGCAAAATCCCTAACAGGATATCATGACCAACAGTATTGAAGGCATTGCTAAAATTTTTAAGTGGTAGAGCCATGCCGCAGCTATATTAGTGCTATAGTTGTAACACGAATGGGTCGGTTCGCCCGGGGAAGGACCACGCTCTCACAGAATACCAGCGTAAATTAGTAGCTTAATACTGCTGTGTTTCGTATGGTGAATATAGAGAACCGGAGACACTTTTTAATGGAAACGCGGCATTTCATCTTAGTCCTTACGGGTGACAACGCATCCGCATTTTGATTCGTAATCGAGGATAGATGTAGATGTCTATGGGTCACAGCAACCACTTGCCATCAAGTGGACTGTGTGCTCCTTTGTCACCCTATCCTATAAAAAAAATCCAGCAACACCAATATTTTGACTTGAAGATTTTCTATACCGTAGCAATTGTCGTCCATTGTTTTTTAATAACAGACTTAAATCCAGACTGGATTGGGTTGAAGATGCTATTACTTAAACAAAAGAAACTAATCTATTGTTCGATATGGCGTTCTTACACCTTGGAAAGGAAAAGAAGAATCGAAATGGAACAATTTTCAGAAAAATGTGAAGAATTTGCATTTAGTAGTGTTTTATCAATTGGTAGATTTTTAAATTAAATTAATTTATATTTAATACATTTAAAAATATACAAATCGTCATCACACTTTATTCCCATACAATTTCTGTATAAATATATTTATTATTAGCATTTAAAAATTGTTTCAATTGACTTGAGAGTCAAATATCCAATTGAAACTTTAAAGCTTGGCCTCCACAATATTAAGGTTCGCCTTTTTTACGTCCACTTGCCACATGTAACACATGCCCCATGTTTCACAATAATTTTGGACATATCTTAGGAAATTAAAAAACTCACTAACGCTAAAATTAAAGTTATACAATAATATACTTTTCTAATTTAGAATTAGGATCGGGTTAATTGACACGCCTCTAGAGAGGTCTATGTCCAGCAGTAGACTGCCGCAGGCTAATGATAATGATGATGATGAGATTGATGTACGACCTGGTGAACACATGTCGGACGTCGATGTATTAATGTAACTCTGGACCTTATATTATTAAAATCATCGGGGAAGGCTTTTGTTCATCAATGGACTTGTGATGGGCTTTAACGTTGTCGATGTTCATGAATTATTTTCGGCATGTGGGCCTTTACTCAACTGCTTAACTCGCTTAAAGCCTAGTAAAAAAAATATTTTACAGAATTTATATCTTACCAGATTCTTGTTTATTAAACAAAACCCACTCCAATCCTGAGGTGTTTCTTTGAATGACCGTGGTTTGAGCCGAGATAATCTGCGATGGTTTCAAGTTATTGAAGTCAGGTTCTCCTCCTCTTGTCCAAGTAATAGGTACGTACCAAAGGCTTGGGTACTGTGATACACCAGTGTTACGTTCCCAACGAGACTAAAATACGAAAAAGTGTTTGTTAGCTGTCATGCTGGTCGAAAATCAGATAACATATAATTTTATTATCTTTATATATAACTTATAATTTTTTCTCTGTATCCGCGTGTATGTGACTAAACTCCTTCTAAATGGCTATACCAATATTGATATGAAAGAGTATTATTTTTTTATAACGCAACATTCGTTCCAGTATATTAATATCAAATATATTGTGTTATTTATAATATCTTTGAGTATTACTCGTACGAACTTAAAACCGCATAAATATAAAAAATTTATTCTGAAAACACAGTGCAAACGTCAATTTTTCAATATTTTTCTTTTTTCTCCAGTTAAAACACTTTACCCCACACTACGATTTTCTCTTGTATCGTAGGTGAGTTTACAAACATAAATTGACAAACATCCAGACGCGGAACAATCATTTGTAGGCTATACAAATAATTGTTCCGTGCGGGATTTGAACCCGCAGAACCAAGCGAAATAAATCATTGCTAAGCCACTGCGCGACGGCTAATAAGACTAAGACGTAGATCCTGTTGTCGGATAAGATCTCAGGTTGTAGCACGAATTGGTCGTCTCGTACGTGGTAGGACCACGTTCTTACAGAATACCAGCGAGAATTGTAGCTTAATACTGCTGTGTTTCGTATGGTTAACACACATAACATTTCAAATATTTATTTACCAATTCTTGTCTTAATTTTAATACTTTCATAATGTCTTTAAAATATAAATTAGTTACATTTTATTTACTAACCTGAGTCACAGTCATGCCTCCTGTTACTTGGTCAATAGTGACAGTCAGTAATGGATGCCCGGCCTTCTCTGACCAAGATCTGAAGTATGTGTCTATTGTTACACCATTGTAAGCGGATAGTGCATTATCTTCAACAGCAGCAGCGTCAAGAGCCTCGAATAGATGATGAGGCTCAGCCACATCATATTTTCTGTAAATTTATTTTGTAATAATTTGAAATAATTAAATAAAATCTTTTAGACACTAGTTTTTTAATAAATTTTTATGTTATAAATACTATCTTTAATTTTTTTATATTTTCGAACTTAAATAAAATTGAAGAATCTGTCTGTTTTAGCAGAAAAAGCACGAGAGCAGAATAAATGATGTAAGAATGCGGTCATTAAGGAATATGCTGGGGCTAAATATAAATGACATTGTGAAAAATCGTGTGATAAGAGAAAAGTTTGATTTGCAAGAAAATGTTTTGACAAAGATTTTGGTAGCGGCGTAAAATCTACCACCACCCCTTGTTCGCATCATGAGTCAGGAGATAAAGGAAATGGCCCCGAGTTCCCGGCGCCCCTTTAATGGGGCAGGGGTGCGAAGAATCTCCGGGAGAAAAACCGGCGACGAGGTTCGCCACCCGTCACGTTCTGTCTCCCGGAGGGGCGAAAAGTGGATTGCGGAAGCCCGTCTGGCTACGCTGAATGTATGTGGAGCAATGAATGATAAGATGGTATGCGAAATGATGAATGACAGAGGAATAGATGTGTTATGTGTAAATGAGACGAAACGAAAGGGAAAGGATGCCACTGCACATGGCACGTATACCGCGTATTGGTCTCGTGTAGACGAGACCGAACGGGCATGCCAGGGAGTCGGTTTCATCCTTTCAGAAAGAATGGGTCAATGTGTGAAAGAGTATTAATGTGTAAGCCCGAGGCTGCTATGGATACGAATGAAAGTGGGCTTAAAGAAGCTGTTCTTGCTAGGGGTGTACGCCCCAGGCATGTCTAAGCCCACTTACATGCGAGAGCAGTTTTGGGACATGGTAAGGATGGTGTTTACAAAATGTAAGGAAAATGAAAATATTATGTTAGGAGACTTTAATGCAAGGGTTGGGGTGTAGAGGTCTGGTTATGAAAGGATATTGGGAACGTTTGTTGATCAAAGTATAAATAAGAATGGTGAAGACCTCCTCACCGTATGTGTTGAAAAGAATCTCTTTGTGACGAATACTTTTTTTCGTCATAAGAAGATTCACATGTATACATGGGAAAGAGGTTATGATGGAAGCACGATAGATTTCGTAATTGTGGATGAAAAAATGAGGAGCGCAGTCGTAGATACAAGAGTTTACCGGGGGTCCAACGTAGGGACGGATCATTACTTGGTCTTATGTCAAATTAATGGTCTTTTCAAGCGTTGGCGGCATCGGACATCTGTGTCTACCACTGCGTTACAGCGTATAAGAATAGAGAAGTTACAAGATGAAGATGTGAAAGAGAAGTATAAATGTAGACTGAGAGAAAATATTAGGTGTTTGAATGAGTTTTGTATGAATGATTTAGACTTGAATACTGTGTGGGATAATATTAAGAAAGGTTTGGTGGATGCAGCCATCGAAGTATGTGGTGTAAGTAAGAGAACAAATGAAAGGAAAAGGAATACGTTGTGGTGGTATGATGAGGTGCGGGTGGAAGTTGAATCAAAGAAGAAAGCATGGTTAGATTTACTAGCAACTAAAACTGGTAATTCTGGTGGTATGAATGATGAGATTGAAAGAAAAAAGGCAGAATTTAGACATCTAAATAAGAAAGTAAAAGAAGTAGTTGAAAGGAAAAAGAAAGAAAGAACAGATAAGAATGATAGAAGGATATCTGATAATTTCCAGGCTAATATAAAAATGTTCTGGAAACTCGTAAGAACTGCCAGGGGAAATACAAAACAGCCTATAATTAATGCTATAAGAGACGAGAATGGATGTATTCTGAATGATGAAGTTTCGAATTTAAACAGATGGAAGGAATACTTTGAATTTTGTATTTATGAGTGAAGAGTCGTCTGAATTAAATGAACAAGAAATTCCGAAAAAAGTGGAAAGGGGTATGGAGATAAGTGTAGATGAAATAATGAAAGCAACTCGAGATGCTAAAGGCTGGAGAGGAAGTGGTGGCAGGCCTGCTGTACACCTTGTTTAATTTATGTTGGGAATTAAAACGGGTACCGGATGACTGGTGTAAAGCAGTTATAGTACCAATATATAAAGGAAAAGGGTCACAGCAGGACTGCAAAAACTACCGTGGTATCAGCTTGCTTAGTATTGTGGGTAAACTGTATGCTAAGGTGTTAATTGAAAGAGTTATGAAAGAAACTGATGGAAAATTTTGGGATGTGCAAGCGGGTTTTAGGAAGGGAATGGGGTGTACAGATCAAGTCTTTTCCATGCGTATGATTGCGGAGAAGTTTTTGGCTAAAAACCAGAAAGTTTTTTGTGCGTTCATGGAACTTGGAAAAGGCTTATGACAGAGTGGACAGGAATGCGTTATGGCAAACACTGAACTCATATGGGTTGAGCGCTGGTTTGATACAGGCATTGAGGTCTCTTTATAGGGATTCTATTGCTTGTGTCAGGATCAATGGGGTCTACTCGGACTGGTTTGGCATCCGAAAGGGTGTCAGACAGGGCTGTGTGGCTTCCCCTTGGCTGTTCAACCTATTTATGGACAGGTGTTTGCAAACTTTGAAAGATGAAGAATGTGGGTTAAGAATGGGCGAGCTAACCGTCAAATGCCTTTTGTATGCCGATGATCAAGTCATATTTGCGTCATCGGCGGCTGAGTTGCAAATGATGGTTATATTAATGAACTGGGCATTAAAAGAAAGGGGAATGAAAGTGAACGCAAGTAAGACGAAAGTGATGGTTTTTGAAAGAGAGGAAAGCAAAACGGTATGTGAAATAAGAATAGAAGGAGAGTTAATTGAACAAGTGGATGAGTTTGTGTATTTGGGATGTGTATTTAGCAGGGATGGTAGATATGATAAGGATATAGAACGACGAGTAAATGCAGGGAATAGAGTGAATGGGGCACTACACTCTATTGTGAAGAACCAGAATGTATCAAAAAAGGCACGTATGGTAATTCATAATGCTGTGTTAGTCCCTACTTTAATGTATGGTAGTGAAAGCTGGGTGTGGCAGAAGAAGCACGAAAGTAGAATAAATGCTGTAGAAATGCGGTCTTTAAGGAGTATGCTAGGGTTGAATCTGAATGACAGGATGAGAAATTGCATGATAAGAGATAAATGTGGTATGCAAGATGATGTTGTGACCAGGATTAAGAAAGGAATGCTTCGGTGGTTTGGTCATGTAAAAAGAATGAATGAGGAAAGAGTGACAAAACAAATTTATATGGCAGATGTGAACGACAGAGTCGGGAAGGGATGCCCTAGAAAAAAGTTTGTCGACCAAATTGGCGATATTTTGAAAATGGGCCATGTTAAAAGTACCCTTAACCGACGAGCATGTATGCGTAGATGTATGGATGTAAAGGAGGCGAAAGAGGTATGTCAGGATCGTGTCAAATGGAAGTCCGTGGTCTCTGCCTACCCCTCTGAGTGACAGGCGTGAGTGTTTATGCTATTATGCTATTATGTTTTGACAAGATTAAGAAAAGAATGCTTAAGTGATTTGGTCATATAGAAAAAATCAACTAGAAAATAGTGACAAAGCAAATTTATATTGCAGATGTGAACGGTAGATTTGGGAAGAGACGACCTAGACAAAAGCTTATCGACCAAATTGGCGATATATTGAAAATGGTCCAGATGGTATGCGTAGATATATGGATTTAAAGGAGGCGAGAGAGGAGTGTCAGAATCATTCCAAATGGAAGTCTTAATCCCTCTGGGTAATAAACGTAAATGTTTAGTGTCTTCGTCAGAACTCTTTTTGAACTCTACTGCATTTGCTATAATATCAAGTACTTCCTATCTAAAATAACATTTTTAATTGGTTAGCTCCTGTCTTAATTTTTCCTTATGTTCCTAGTGAAATTATTCCCTCCAATGTCCTGTGCACTTCCCTACATTTTATGATAAATCTTCCTCTGTTCTTGGAATAAATCGTTGAAACCCCTTACCCTAGTCGATTATATAGATTATCTACGTATTAGCTTTGGCAGGAATCGATCTTCTTTCGCGGAGATTTGTGCTCTATCAAATCTGATGTAATGTCGTCTAAAATATAATCACAACAATTCACTTCAGTAATATGTTCTTTTACGCAGGTTTTTACAGATCTTTTCGTTTGCCTTAGAGAGACCACATTCACAATCAGGCTTGTGCATTCCTGCACCCGAAGCTTTTGTCGTGCAAAATCTGATTGACGTGCTGAAACGTGGCTAGGTGTTTGATATAGTAACAAGTGTAATTAAACGGGATAAAAGTAGTTTTAGTGAATGTGTAGTGTTCGCATAAATATAAGAAATGAACATTTCGATTGTTTAGCTATTATGTCTAAATCGCGGACAGGGAAACTGTTAAAATACCTTTCGTTTAGATAACGGCGGAGGCCTTTCACGAAGGTGCTATCTCCAAGAAGATGTTGCGTCATTCTAATTACAGATGCTCCTCGGGCATAGGTAATGGTCGAAAAGTGGGCACTGACACTGCTCGGATCGTTGACAGCTGGGTTAGTGAGAGCGTGCGCGGAATCAATTGAGTCAGCGATCATAACAGTCTGCAGTTGTTCAACAATGAAACGAATGTCATAGCCAAGCTCTGGTTGGACCTGTGGTATTTAAACATTATTGCTAAAGAATTATTAATAAAACGGCAACATTTACAATCTATACATCTATCTATACAAGCAAGATGCTCAAATAGCAGCCCCGTACCGGTAGGCGAATTTTGGGACAGCCCCCCACTAGATGGAGTGACGACCTGGTGAGACACGCAGGCAGTCGATGAATGCAGGTGACTCAGGACAGTTCTTTGTGGTATTCTTTTGGGGAAGCCTATGTTCAGCAGTGGACTTGTGAACAGCTGTAACGATGATCTATCTATACATATAAATAAAATTATTATGTTCGAGATTGAAATAGCTTCTATCAAAATCGCAGGTAATTTGTATTACTATTAAGATAAAAAAAAACATTTTTAAAATGTTTGTCTGTCAGTCTGTGTGTTTATCTGGGCTAATCTCCAGAGTGGCGGCATGATGATTGGTAACAATACCAAATCATAAACCATCATCATCATCATCCTCATCTTCATTGTATTTTCCTTTTTAATCAACCGCGAAGAAACTTGCATGTCTGAGAAATAAGAAAAAAAGTATAGTTGAAATTTACAGCAAGCGCTAATCCCCTGAGCTACTACGGCTCTACATCTACCAGTTAGATATACAGTGTAAAGATTGATTTGTTTGTAAAACTTTAAAAATAATACCAGATAAATGTACAACAAATATGAATAGGTTGATAAGGTATAAGAGAACAGATACAACGGACAAACAACAAAGTATTCTTCGATTTTTTTCCTTGATAATGTTAATAATTAAAAAATATACTCATACATACCGCGTGCGTAAGATAATATTGATAGAATCTAGCAAATCCTTCATTAAGCCATAGATTGTCCCACCATGCGCAAGTCACGAGGTTACCGAACCACATATGGGCTATTTCATGGGACACAATATTGGCGACTCGTTGTTTGTAGTGATGATTCGAATTGAGAGGGTCATACAATATCAGAGCTTCTCTGTAATAGTTACAATTTATTTACTAATGTGTTAATAAGCCCCAAATAAACTTTGAGTATTAACTGGGTAAGGGCGTAGATTTTGCCACTTTTCAAAAAAAATGTCCCGAATAACTGCTTATAAAATACAAAGTACTTCGTTAATTGTAATGAAAGTATCTTAATTAGATTATGTAACTCTTAAACTCTTATAATGTATTATTTAAATGGATGCAAGTCATACAGTTTTAAAATTAAAATGAGATTAATTCGACCAGACCCTCAAATATAACCAAAACCATGGTTTTGGTTCTGCTGGTGAATATCTAAAATGGCTCAAAATTAGGCTACTGCATCGTAGTTTCCGCGTCTTTATATACGCGTTACTGATTGATCTATCAAAGTCTAAAAATTTGTCTCGTCATTTTCACTTATTTATTACTATTTTTTATTACCAAAATTTGACCTTTAAGTATTAAAAATACATTCTGATAGCATTTTGTAATTGCACTGGCAAAATCAGATAGTACAGAGAACACAATAAAGAAAAAAATATATACGGCTTTTTGAACCTCTCAAAGTTGCTTGGGAGTGTTTTGGCAATGGCTATTTTTGTGAAATTTATAGCGATCTCCATCTCGAGTGATCGACAAACGATCTCAAAAGTAAATAACAGTTTTTATTACACAAGTCTTTTATAGCATTGAGTGAATAATAAGTGTAATACGTGTAGTATAAGTGATTAAAAATTGCATAGTAACGTAGCTTTGTATCAGTTTCGGCCCTATTTTGTCATTTTTGACTATTTAAAACCTTGAAAACTACGCTTTTACGTTACTTTTAGCATCTATGTCACTGGTAACGTTGACTGTATGTTACGTAACGTTTAAGTGTTTTACAGGTTTGTAAATATCGTAAATTATTATATATTTTCAAATAGATAAGTATAATAATTAAAAATATGACAAAGTAAACTTTGTTTAAAAACTAGACCTACTATTTTTTTATTTGAAGTGCAAGATACTAGAGAAGAAGACAAAAAATAAGCTGTTGAAAATAAAGACAATGGTGAAATTGAGACTGGATATAAAAAACAAAATCAAGGCATAGGATGATAAATAAATACTGGTGAAGAAGATATAGAAGAAGCAGTAAAATGAAAAGAAATGGACAAAACAGATTTAGATTGAAAAAAAAACTGAACTTTAAAAACTTTAAAATAAAAAAATAATAATAACAAGGATTCTAATGTGGATTAAGAAGAAGGAACGAAGGCAATTGAAAATAAACAGAATGACTTCATTGTGAACACAAGGGATACTACTAAGGTTATATATTTCCAAAGAAAACTTGTAAATATTTTACAGGTTTTGTTGAGAATATAGAATTTAAGGATGGAGAAAATTATTATAAGATAAATATTTTTTTTAAATCCATCAACGATTCCGCAGATTCCGTTAAGTTCGTTGTCCAAAGAAAAATGTATATCGGTATAGTGACCATGATCACTATTTCTATCGTCAAAAAGATAAATTTGGTCAAACAGAAGGAGCTCTAAGGAATATTATCTAAATAACAATTTCGAAATGGTTATAAGTATTTTGTTATCGCACTGATCTCTAACCAGGGTTAGAAATATTTTTTAAAACATACAGTGATTTTGCAAAACAATTACCACCTATATGCTAGGTCCGAAAGACCTTAGGACTATTTATTCCTATTTTTATTTGCCCAACAGTTTCTAATAACAATTATTTAAGAACAACCTTTATTCATTTTTTAAAACTTACAAATTATATGTTTAAATAATTTCAGGAAAACATAAAAAACATTCAAAAATGTAAAAATCATCGGTACAGGGTCCAGAGCTACCAGCGGTCAAGGTTTAATAGAGAGGAAACTCCTAACAATACGTCCGCGTCAAGAAATATAAGTATGACACAACTGAAACTGAAACTGAAATCGTAAACAAACTTTGTAAAACCGATCACTTTGGAACTGAGTGGGACTTGGGACCAAAATTGATCTTGACACTGATGTAAGAAGTTGTAAAATTAACTTTAAAACTTCTTACATCAGTGTCAAGATCAATTGACTGGGTAGGACCACGCTCTCACAGAATACCAGCGTAAAGTAGCAGCTTTATGCTGCTATGTTTCGTTTGGTTAGTGTTGAGAACCGGAGACTCTTGGTACTGGACACGAGGAATTCCATCTCAGTTCTTAGGGGTGACAATGCATCTGCGTTTTGATTCTTCATTGAATATAAATATAGATGTCTATGGGCCACAACATCCACTTACCATCAGGTGGAATATGTGCTCGTTTGTCACCCTTACTCTATAAAAAAATAATCTCATTGTTTTGCTTATTTTCTTAGCTTTGAACATATTTTAAAGTAAACTTAAAATCATGAATGTTATTAAATTAGTGTCTTTTTTAGTTGATAAAATTTTGAAAATATCAACCATTGATCATATTTTTCTTCTATTAAACTGAAATACAGAAAGTGAGCGAACTGTATTAGTAAACATTTCAGACTGAAGTTTGTGCTCCAAGCACATCTCATAACTCCAACTTTCACGCTAAAAATAGGGCATTATGAAGTGAGCCTCACAATTATACTTTTTGTTACTTTTGCATTGCTTCTACTACTTGAGCATTACCGTAACATAGTAGTGTATAGACACTACTATGTTACGGTACTATGTAACATAGTTGTGTATAGACAATGTAAATCGTGTAATTTATCACAATGTAATGAAATGCTTTCCTATTTATGACTGTTATAGATAAGAAAGAGCTCTCGGGATTCCTGACACAGGTTTCCTTTTAAACTTACTAGAAGGACCCGTCTACTATATTGTTTATGTATGTAACTTTAAATAAATAAAGCATTTATTATATTATTATTATTATTATATGGGGTAAATATACATAAATATCAATAAAATAAAATAAATACAAAAAATACATAAATAAATGAGATCCAACCAGATGGAAGCCCTCGGCAGGGGAGACCAAACGGCCGAGGTTTAGAAGAAAAGGGAAAGAAACCGGCGGACGATGCGGGCGGTATCGAGGAGCACCGCCTTCTGCATTTGAGCCCGGAGCGGTCCGTCACGTAGTCCCAGTTACCTCAGATGACCCGAGAGGCTGACTGCGATTAGCCCATTCGCAGAGACGACTACAGGAATAATTTCAGCCGGCAGACCACCCCACATGTCGGTCACCTCGCGAGCCAGGTCCAGATATTTTGTTCGTTTATCTGTTTCGGCTTTCACGAGGTTCTCGTCATACGGAATGGTAATGTCGACCAAAAATATCCTTGACTGTGCCTGGTCCATCAGCACAATATCAGGCTTATTCGCAAGAATAGTCCTGTCTGTGATGATGGCCCGGTCCCAGTAGAGCCTGGCGCGGTCATTTTCGAGCAAGACTTCCGGCAAGTACTTGTAATACGGCAATTTCCGGTCCACGAGACCGTATTTTAGAGCGAGCTCCTGGTGTAGAATTCTGGCTACTAGGTTGTGTCTGCGCAAGTACTCAGAGTTAGAAAGCGCCGAACAACCGAAGATGACATGCCTAAGTGACTCACCGGGATGGCGACAAGCTCGACAGATGTCGACAGTGCCATCCTTTAGGATGTATCTCCGATAGTTGTTGGTCTTAATAACCTGATCCTGTATTGCATAGACAAAACCCTTGGTTTCCCCAAAAAGGTCACCAAAGCGTAGCCAGTGGAGGGAGGCTATTGTGTCTACCAAAGGCTCATGTAGAGCCTTGTAGAACCTCCCGTGGAGCTCCTTCCCCTCCCATACGGTCTTCCGGTCGGAAATGCTCTGCACTGCCGGGTCTTGCCATTGCTCGTTGACTAAGGATAGAGGGGTAAGTCCTTTATCACAAGAAATGACGTCTTTATACAATGGATCATCCGATCTCGCCAGGAAGTAATTACGGAGGCTGCACACTTCGCGATTATGCATGATGAGCGCGCTCAAGAAGTCACGCCCACCATGCTTTCGCGGCAAGTACAGCCTCATTACCGACGATCTCGGATGATGCATCTTATGGAACGTCATGGTAGTACAGACTTTTCTATCCAGGGCGTTAAATTCAGTCTGAGTCCATCTGAATATGCCAAAGGTATACATGACGACAGGCATGACCCAGCCGTTATATGCGTGTGCCTTATTCACATCGGACAAAAGGCTGTTAAGCACTTTGGTCAAGCGTGCATAAAACATGTCGCAAACTGACTGTTTCATACCAGCCTCATCGATACCGATGTTCTGTGACATACCCAGGTATCGGTATGTTTCAGCCTTGGAAAGGGTCCTTAAGTTGACGGGCATAGATAAGTCTATGCCCTCAGAGTTAGCAACCATTCCCCTTTCAACATGGAGGACCGCACACTTATCCGTCCCCAGCTCCATTCCAATAGAATTGCTAAATTCGCAAGTGAAGTTTAGCAATTCCATAAGATGGGAGCGACTGGAAGTGAATAATTTGAGGTCATCCATATAGAAAAGGTGGGTCACTTTTGTACCTCCTTTCCGAAGCTGAAATCCTATCCCGGAGCCCTCCAGTAAAGTACTGAGAGGGCTCAAAGAGAGGCAGAACCAGATTGGACTCAGACAGTCGCCCTGGAATATTCCCTTCTTATCCTTTTGCGGCTTTCCGCAGCCGTCATCCGCTTGCCTAGATGACAGAGGATCGTACTCCACAAAATGGACCTTAGTGTCTTGTATATAGTCGGTAGACACGTGATAGGGCGGTATTTGCTCGGGTCTGTGGTACCCTGATCTTTAGGAACCAAATGAGTAATCTCAGTAGTGAAGAGGCTTGGGAGCGACTTCTGGTTGAGAGCCTCTTGAAACTGTCGGGTGAGCACAGAGTGACACACCATGAACCCCTTCAGCCAGTAGTGTTGCAGCCCGTCAAGCCCCGGACTTTTCCAGTTCGGGGCCCTACGGACCGCCTCAGCTACGTCATCCGGCGTTATAATGACGGGGTCCATGGGCGTAATACCCGCTCACTGACTCACCACAACTTCCGCCCTTATTGTGGTTTACGGGCTCTGACCACAGGCTGCGCCAGAATGCGACCGTGTCGGCCTGATTCGGTACTGGGCCCGTTCCACATACCATTGGTCGCTCCAATGATTTATAGAGCCTCTTCTGATCACTCTGGCAGAGACGATTCTGGTTGAACCGTGTCGTATATCGCCGAATCCAAATCCTTTCCCCAAGCAGCGATTCTCTGCTTCAGGTCGTCTATGCGCTCCGTCAGTTTTTTGCATTATATCCGGCTGGGATAAACTAACATTTGTCCCAACAAATGCCATCCTGACGGTGCGTACAATCCTTGGCCTGGTATTGCCTGACCTGAAGCATATCAGTCTGCCGATGAGAGCCCTAGCCTTTGCGATACGTTCATCAATTATTATTCTCCTGGCTGGGATAGCACTACTTTGTTCAGTAGCGCGTCCAGCCGTAGAAAGTTTGGCGCCTATAATACGGCAGACTGCCAGTGCGGCGCCAAAAAGAATTGAGTCCGTCTCGCAAAGGTGACCGGTTTAATCCTAGCTAATAGATTATGTTTGTGCAAGTACTCAGAGTTAGAAAGAATCGAACAACCGGAGATGACACATCTAAGTGATTCACCGAAGTGGGGACAAGCTCGACAGATGTTGACGGGGCCACCCCCTTCTCCTTCCATACGCTCTTACGGTCAGAAATGCTGTGTACTGCCTGGTCTTGCCATTGTTCGATGGCTAAGGATTAAGGGGTAAGCCCTTTATCACAAGAAATGACGTCCTTATAGAATGAATCATCCGATCTCGTTGGGAAGTAATTACAGAGGCTGTACACTTGGCAATTATGCATGGTGAACGCGCCAACAGAAAAAAAGTCAACTTAAAAAACCACACCCACCATGCTTCCGCGGCAAGTAAAGCTTCATTACCGGCCATCTCGGAGGGTCAGCCGGCTGGCTTCCAAATAGGTCACCAGCATTGAGTTCAGAGCCCTCACGACAGCCCGATTCCGCTTGCTTTGAGCTATGCGGGGAAGTCGCGGTCGATTTTCGAGAGGCGTACTGCGCGTTTCCACAATCGCCTCCTCCAATGTACTCCTCATTTGCTCTAGTTCAAGTTCCAGGGCGATTGTTCCATCATCGTTTGAATCAACCACAACTGGGGTATTCATGGCGGCATCCACGTTTGTCGTTTGCTCTGCAAGTTGTGGCGCCCCATCCTCAGCCTTAGCATTTTCACCCGATGAAGGAACAGCCTTACGTCGTAGCCGTTCGAGTTCGGCGACATCAAATATATTTGAGCTCAAGATATACCGAACTCGGTCTGCCAGGTTTTGCTCTGTGACGGTTATAGATGGCTCCAGCTTAGTAAAATGACGATGCATCCTAGCCCGATATGCCAAACCTCCAACTTCTCCCCCTTTCGCCCTAAAATACGCCCGCAGTGCGTTGGTATTAATTTTGATTGTCCATCGCATGCGGCGTACTCCACCAGTGGCGGGTGCCGATTGCTGGGCCCGCGAAGACCCTGCCGACACTAAGCCAGCTGGTGGGGATGATGGATGCGAGGGTCTGATGGGAGGTCGTGCAGCACCTCTCGCTCGGCTGGCGGTTCGCATTCTGTCGCGTCCAGCGCCACCTCCAGACGCGCCCTGGCGACCTCCAGGCAGCGGCCCTTTGCGCGTTTTTCCGTATTCCATCATCCTTATTATATTATTAATTTTATTATTATTATTATTTAAAGACACTACTATGTTACGGTTACTATATATAGCAAAGTGGCAAAGTCTACGACCTTACCCAACTATTTTTTTAAAAATAAGGGTTACAAACGAGCATACAGGACTAAGATGGAATGCCACATTTCCAGGTAGTACCATGCTGCAGCTATATTACGGTTGTAGCACGAATGGATCCGAGTAACCGAGGAAGGACCACGTTCTCAAAGAATACCAGCTTAATGGTGAGTGTAGAGAACTGGCGACGCTTTTTACTAGAATCATTAGTTTCTGTCTTAGTCCTCGGGGATGATAACGCATCTGCATTATTATTTATATTATTTTGTTTTATTTATTTTATTATTCTTAATCGAGAATAGATGTAGGTGGCTATGGGCCACACCATCCACTAAACACACATCAGGTGAACTGATAGCTCGTTTGTCACCCTTATTCTATAAAAACGATACGAAAATTAATTCGCTAGCCTCTAAGTAACTTCAGGAGAACCTGGTTTATTTGAGTAACCATGTTTTAGGTTCAAATAGCTCGGTGTCTCCTTTAATGATATCTAAAATATTGGTTGGCTATCGCAGGATCTGTTGCACGTAATGATGTCGTATATTTGTTATAAAATGTTACCCATCTCGTATTCCCTTCTATCCATCCATTTCTCTCTATAAAATCCGACAGCTGAACATAGGTCTCCCCCATAGTTGCTACGCTTAGTATGCGGATAAGGAACCGCATTTTTTTATAATTTTTAGTTATTATCAGGAAGAATCTTTATATATGAAATACAATGTTCAGATATTATAGGCTATATTTAAATTCATTTCTATTGTATTTTTATTCATTTTTTTATAATTTTGAGTTATTATCAGGAAGATGAATTTTATATATGAAATACAATGTTCAGATATTATAGGCTATATTTAAATTCATTTCTATTGTATTTTTTATTCAATATGAATAATAATAATAAATGAAAAATAAAAAATAACTAATAAAAATACGTAAAAGAAATAAATATTAATATTTATTGCAGGCCATTTATTCAATCTTTTTAGTAAATTTATTCATAACTGCAAGACAAATTTGGAGGATAAATTAGTCAGATTTAAGTATCTAACAATTATTGATATTAGAGTAAAATATTACGATTACTTGTTATAATTCTGATTTCCACCTACCTGTACGTTAAGAGCCCCCAGTTTTCCATAGCGCCAGCGGAGAAATCGGGAATAGCAGCTTGTTTCATATTCATATTTGAAGTCATATTATAGTAAGAAATTTGAGTGTATTGTTCCATTTCTTCTAAGAGCAATTCTCCCACTTCAAGAGACCATTCTCCAGTAGAACCGGCGTTGTCTCGGGCGTAGATATCGAATGGCCTTATCGTATTGTTATTAGTGGCCACAACAATATAATGGGAAACGATAAAAGCCAGCAAGTATGTAGAAGTCACAGGAGTTGTATGAAAAGTTTCTGCAACTCTTCCATTTGCGAGCCTAAAAATCATGCATTTCCCCACATCAATCATTATTTGTAATTGGTCCAAAAACAATAACATCCAACTATTGATTAAATTTAATTAAACTTTAATTAATGCTTAATATTGTGCAACACATTTTCTATATATTAAAGTAGTAACATAAAAAAATAAATGAAAATTAAAAAAACTCACGTTTCCCTGGTTTTCAAAGGCATATTAGAAATAGTTGGGCTAAAGTCTTGCTCTCTTACGATTGTTATATCGAAGGTTGCTTTAAAACCCGGTTCGTCATAACAAGGAAACGCCTGACGAGCATGACCCGGTTGAAATTGTGTGGTACCCATCCATCTAAAATATATCATAATTATTGACAAAAAACACGACATTTTGATTAAATTTAAATTCATTTAATTTATAAAGTATTGGAATTACTGGGTAAATTAAGATTAATGGGCCGTAGTACCTACGTCAAGGCATAGTAGTAGCAAGGCATAGAGTAAGAAACTCTTTTTGTTTATGTAAGAGGGGGCAAACAACTGCAACATCAGGGAATTGGCAGGCCTTTTAAAAATACTAGACTTTTTTCTTGAATTTCCCTAAGTCGCATTGTTCCGTAAAAATCGATGTTGGTAGTCGATTCCACAAGGAACTGCGAGGAAGTAAACTTCTAGTATCGCACATATGGTGGACGGCCAATCAACTAGATGAGTTGGATGTTACCGCGAGTTTCGTCACGATGTGATAACTTGCCTTTGATCCCCGGGAGCTCCAATGAAATTAGCATTGCAATAATTAAGTAAATGACCATAGGTTCGATAGCGATTATTATAATAATTTATACATTATATATTAATTATTATTATTATAACAATGGTTAATTAGTTATATATTAATTATTATTCTTATAATAATTATGGTTAATGACTTATTGGTTTAAGACAGTAGTCGAAAGGTGTGTTTGAAATTACATTTTGAGTTTGCAATGACTGCTGACTATTAGGCAACTGTAACTTAAATTTGAATATTTTATTTTTTGTTTTTAATTTAGTATATAAAAGACTATAAACGTCCCACTGCCGGATACAAACATCCCTATTTTCCGAGGGTACGTCCACCCCGCTGCCCCAATGCGGACTTCACGAGTCTTCAAAATATTCTTTTTAAATTCTTCGTCATCCCATTTCCTCAAGATGTTTTCTTTCACTGTTATGTTGCCAGGGATAACAATGCATCTGCATTTTGATTTCTTAATCGTTGATTGTTGTATAACCCGACTACAAGACCGTTCTGAGTACGTTCGTTACAAAAACACAAATCTTCGGTTTTGGGGTTCGCATTTCAGTCACAGCGGATATTTTTAATGGACCTATCTGCGCAGGACAGGATAATTGAGCCCGGGAGTATGCGTAAGCACAGGGACACTCTCTATTTCCTAACCTACACGTATAGTCAGATAGGACGGTTATCAGACACCAAAAGCTTTAACCGATTTTGGCTCAAACCGGGATTCGAATCAGAGACCTCATGATCAGCAGTCACATTTACAACCGCGTGACCAAAAAGGTAGTTAAAATTGTAACAGTAGTTGTGTCTCAAGCACGTAAACTACTTTGTATAGATGCTTACATTGAGGAACCTAACTGTCTTAGTGGATACTATGTACCCGGGGCACGTTAATTTCTTTCACGTTCATCTTAGTAAATCAACTTTATACCATATATTATATATATATATAACTTACCTTCTTCCAGTAGTGTCATTATACCAACTTCGGTAAAAACCTCGCATATTAGTTTGCAAATTGCCTCTGAAAGTCATTTTCACGATATATTCCTCACCAAGTTGCAAGGGCGTGGTTGTGCTAATCCTGAGAAAGCTGTAAGGCGAGATACACTCGAGTGTTTGATTCGGCGTGTTGACTTCTAAGCTGCTTTGCGAAAGAACACTTACAGAGTTGATCGTGAGATCATTACAATGCATAACTATTTCAGTAACATTGGCTTCGGTTGGACTAATATTAATTGTTACTTCACCATCGAAAGTGAATGCTGTTGTATTTATTGGCACAATATCAAAATAAGGAGTTAAAGTTACTTCGTAATGTCGCGGCCGAGTTGTAGTTGGCAAACGATAGGCTGGGTCTCTTAGCATCCGGTAAAATTCCTCCCATTCTTCGTCTGGCACGGGAACGGGGCTAAAGCTTAAGATGCCCTTGATAAGGGCTGACCCAAAAAGTAACAAAAACCAGCGGGACGCCTGCACAAAACAGAATTTAATTTTTCGTTTCCAAAAGAAAAATAAATTAATTTTTCTAGATAAAAATAATAAAATTATATTATAAATTAGTATACAACGTATAATATCACTTTATTTCAACGTGACTTACCATAATCGTGTTGATTCATAATGACATAAAATGGGTAGTTTTTCCCGGTTTCACTTTATCTTAATCTGTTTGTTATAATCTACTTATCTTATCCAAATATCCGAAATGGTAATTAGATATTAGCTTTAAGGTTAAAAAGTATTGATAACTATTTACCTAACATCATTCCAATACAAAACGACATATTTTATGATCATTAAACAACGAATGAACCATAAATAGTGGCAGCGTAAGATATCATATAAGATATAAGATATATCTGTTTCATCCTTTGAGTATCGTATGTGGCTAGAGGAAAGGACAGTAAGACATGAACATAGGAAAAGTTTTAAAAGCCTCCAGCCCTCCTATAAATAGTGATATCTACTGTTAACTGTCTGGATATTTCACATTTGGCAAACACCAGATGTAAAATATGTATAACCCTTTGACGCCTTTAAGGGACGAAACATGCTTGCGGTGAAAAATTTCATAGAGGAGAATTGGCGAATGAAGAAATTCAGCACAAAATATTGCAAATTGGAATGATAAGTGTCCCTGAGCTTTTACAATAACACCTATGCGTGAGGAGGATAGCGTGTTGGATGCAGCACAGCTTCACCGATGCTCAGAAGCAGACCTGCGTAAAATAATGCCGCAACATGTCCAATCAGGCTTGCCTCGATATATTTACATTATTTCAGGTGTTAAATCAAGGGCTTATATCAATACAATCCAGAATCTTTTACAGGACATAATTTAGTTTTATACCAAATTTCATTATTTTCCGACTAGCTGTTTAATAGCGACTCAACTATATATATATCGTCTGGAATTTAAAAAAAGTGAGAAGAAGATAAGAAAGAAGAAGAAGAGATGCCTTTACACTCTCTTTAATTCATTAACATATTATGAAATTGATCTATCAATAAATACTACAATTTTGAAATAAACCTTCCGTACTAAAAAAATAAAAACAAAAATTATGAACTTTCTAAATAAATCAATTAAAAAAACTATCGAAATTCAAATAATGCGCACCCTACTTTACTAGTGGCAATAAACTTGCCACACTTGCAGTAGGCCTCTTTATCCTTGTACCTGCACTTTCGCAGTGTTACAAGCGCAAGGGCAAGGCCGTCCGCGCTCTCATTTCAGTCAGCCGTGAATAGCTACGGCATGACGTCGTATAAATAGTTTATGTTTCCGCGTGTGCATCGGCTGCTCGTTGATAGTTATCGTAAACATGTACCAATACTCTAATGTCGAATACCTAGCAAGCCTAGCAATGGTTTCTTGTCTTGTGAAAATTGTGATGGTGCGACGATTCGTCGAAAGATGTACCCGTATTGGAATTTACAACATGCACAATGCACACAGGTGAAGTTTCCAAAACCCACACAAAATCAAAGAACATGCTCATCAAGTTCGTTTCTGTGTGAACATTTGGGCAGCAATCGTTAACGACCACATCATTATCCCAATATGGATCGAAGCATGCCTCTGTCAATCTTGCTATCTGCGTGAAATAATTAACTACGATCGCGAGTCACCCAGGGTGAAATACTCAGTAGGGGCTAGCGCGATGTAGGCGATTGAAAATTAAAGTTTTTAACGCTGTTTACGTAAATATTTTTGTAAATACTTGTTGAAATAGTTTTTGTTTAGTATTTAGCATATTTAATTGTAGGATAAAATAGTTAAAAAGTTTTAATGTAATTTAAAAATTATATATATTATTATATAATATATTACCCATCAATTTGATAAATTTTAATGACAAAACGTCGTTCCCACTATAATTGTTGCGTGGATAGACGCTAAATGACCCACAAAATGTTTCAAATATATCATTCTTTAAGTTACTGAAGGATTTTAGTAGGAATTTATTAAACGTGAATTTATTATATTTTTATTGTTAGATAGATACTTATATCAAAAAAGAAGTTATCATTTATCTAATACCTACGAACTTTGTTACAAAATTTAGTTTAAATTTACTTCACTATCCAAGTATCTACTTACATACCTATACATGTCTTTTTTATTTAAAATATGTTTTTCTTTATAGGAGCGGGGGCAAACAAGCATACGGCTCACCTGATGGTAAGTGATTACCGCCGCCCATGAGCAAATGCAACACAAGGGAATTGCAGATGCGTTACCGGCCTTTCAAATAGGAGTAGGCTCTTTTCTTGAAGGTCCCTAAGTCGTATCGGTCCGGAAAAATCTCTGGTGGTAGTCGATTCCACAAATAAGTTGTGCGAGGTAGAAATCTTCTTTTAAATCGCACGGTGGTGGACCGCCAGTCATCCAGATGGTATAGATGGTATCGCGAATTTTGACGCGATGTGTGATGGTGAAATTGTGCGGCTGGAATTAGTCCTAATAATGCCTCAGAGCACTCCCTGTGGTAGATACCATAAAATACACAAAGAGATGCAACATCTCTTCGCAGTGCTAGTGAGTCAAGCCGACCGGAAAGAGCTCGGTCGCCGATGATTTGAACAGCTCTGCGCTGGATGCGATCAAATGGAAGGAGCTGGCACTGGGCAAGTAGGATACGACTACATTTCCGTTAGGAATCGTATTTCAAGTTTATTTGTTGTGTAAACTATCTACCTTTTTCTTTAGAGCCAAACATCGCGATTCACAACGAATGGCCTTGCAAGTAGCATGCGTTAGGCATCGCAAAACTCACATAGGTGTGATAATATGGTCAGTCGATTATAATCAGAATAGGTATTTTACCATGTAACTTAATTAACATTTCGCAATGTATTTTGTTACTTTTTATTGACATTCCTTAGTAACAACGGATAGTTCGCCGTAACGTAGGAAGGGCAAAAGATGCAAAGTAATACGGACACTCCAGCGCAGCGATAAAGTTTTATTTAGCTTGCGAGCGTGATTTATCTAATTAATAATAATTATATAGGCTTTTAAACATCAGCAAGCAGTCAGCATCAAAGGACTGCAACTTCTGTACGTAGTACTATTATTTATTCTGTGATTGAAGGCCGATTGACGGAAGTAATCATCATCAGTCATCGACATAATGTTGGAAAACGTTCCCCTGAGCCATCTGCAAGAGATGTACTTTATGCACGACAAATATCCAGCTCATTACGAACAATCTGTGCGCGCATATCTGGACGGCCAATTCGGTGATAAGTGGATAGGTTGCGGTTGACCTGTGAACTTGCCGGCGAGATCACGAACGAATGTATGTCCTAGCCAAATAAGAAACATTACGTATTAATAAACGACTACTCGTAATTCTAATCATGTAATGTAAAAATGCTAATGTCGTAATGTCTTTTTGCTTGCTACAATGTGGCTGAAAATGGTGCATTTTATGGGGCATGCATTACAAAACGAATAAATGCAGCGGGATGTCTTATACCCCAAAATCGTTTTTGTATTGTGGCTAGAAATTTTGTCATAAAGAAAGTGGACTTAACTGTTATTCTGTAATTAGACTAGAAATTATTGCTGTTTTAGTCAACGGCATCGTAACGTCATTTCGGCTGAACGTCAGTAATATGCATTCGTAAACGGCGCTCGCCATATAAAAAAACATTTAGCTGCAAGCATTACGACGGCAAGTATTGTTTTTGAATACGCCTGATTCTAAATATTGACTGCAACGATGTGTCGGCCGCCGTTAATCGACTGCCTAGCATCCAAATAACGACGATGAATACCTAACGAATGAAATGTGTACGCGTCTTGCTCGCGCTTACAACTTTCATTCATTTACGATCATAGCCTATGCCGCGACGTTTAAAATAATATCATTTATTTTTAGTTTTACGCAAATGTTTATTCATAGAATTAATTAATTTTATGTATTTTGTTGCACATTCAGTAATTTTGCCTATCGTTTATGATAATTTTTCCTATCGTTTATAGGATAACGGTGTTTACACTAACACCCTATTTATATATATATATATATATATATATATATGGTGTTTTTCGTGTGGTGTGTCTCTCTGATGATGCTCTCCATTTAAAAAATTAAGGCTAATTTAAATACTTTCAGAGATGGCATTCATGTGGAGTTCTTATTTCATGTATAATAAAATATAAAGTTGGTCCTAAATTACGCATTACCAGTATAGCTGAGGACCATAATTTTAACTAGGTTAAGTATAATTTCAGAACTTTATAACTTTAATTAAAAGCGACAGTAGATTCATTGTAAATTGCACTATATGGAGGTGATTTAAGTCCAAGATTATTCAATCTGCAAACTGCAGATTAAAAAATCTTGGATTTAAGTCAGCCATTTCACTACAGTTGTAAATCAAGCACAAGGACTTATTTAGACTAGTTAACGGGAATATAAGTAATATTAAGAGCATTGCTAGGATATAAAAATCATCATTTTAACCCCGCTCTCATATTCCAGATTTGCGGAATCGCTCAAAAATTTGACGTGGTCTTAAAAAAACTTAAAGTTGCTCTTTCTCCATTCACTAAATGACAAAAGAAAAAGTCAGCTACAGAGGTAATTAGTAAAATATAATCAACAATTATATTTAAGACCATTAGTTATTAATTATGTTACACACGAATTACTTACTAGTGTTTATAAGGTAATCGTTACTTATCTTCTGTTCTTTCTAAAACCATGTTATCTACTTAGGATACGGTTACGAAGTTTAGCACTTAGTTGTACAGGCATCACCTTTTAATGATAATCATATCATTAAAATGAAGTGTAAAAAATTAAAAACTATATTATAAAAATAATTTTATTATACTAAGGCACAGGAAAAAATCATAAAATATTGAAATTACATCTACTAAAACAAAATTTAAGCTACAATATTCACTAGGATAGTCGAAATAAGAAGGAATAATGAGACGTAAGAGGTTACTGCTGAATCGGGTATCGTAGGTGTTTCAGGCTCAACTAGAGGTGGAGCTGTTACAGTAATGGGATCTGTTACTACTTCAGGGGACGATGTACTTGTTACAATATTAGAGTCACCGTTGACGAAGTAGTCATTAATATCTTCTGACACTGCCTCTGCCCATCGAATACTTTCACGAGAATTTTCAGCGCCATCATACACAGCTTGAAAGTCGTCACCTAATGCCGTTCGGGTTTCATTCGCCCATAATTGGAACTGAAAACAATATAAGACAATAAACTGAGTAAATGTCAGTTTTTATAAACAAAATGAAGTGCTTAACTTGTAGCCGGAGCCCGGGGAGCGGCCAACGCTTCGTGTGGTAGTTTGGAGCTATTCTATATGTTTTTGATTAGGAACTTTGATAGCGTGATTTAGGCTTCAATGTGTTTCGCTTGTGGCGCGACGACACCGCCGCCACAAACGAACTTTCACCTTATTGTGAGTGACTACTGCAGTCCATGGGCGCTTGCAGCCAACTTTATGCGTTGTCACCTCTGATGATTAAGATGGAATGCCTCGCAGTCTGTAATTTACTGACTCCCTTTACCCATCAAATCGGAGCAAAACCGTGTATGCAACTGCTATTTAATGGTATAAATCGGTAAGAAGATGGGACGTAAATGGATTATTGGGATGAAATGTAGTTCTACCCTCAAGTAAAATTTACAAAGATTAGTCTGTAGAAATAAGATTGTGTGTCTGGTTACTAATTTGAAGAACATCAGCAAGCAGCACCAACCAGCCCAAAAGCACGTTCCATGTCCCTCACATTAATCCCTACTCCCAACAAATATATGCAAATCATCAATTACCTATTCCGTAGCATAAGTAATTCATTAACGGGACGAAGTAAACACTTTTACATTTTAACTCCAGAAAATTTATAGGATTGTAAATTATTAAGATTTTTTTGATAAGTACTGTATATAACCCTATGGCAACTATACAGAATACAGGAGTACCTTTTTAAATATTAGTAATGCTGTTTACGTTGGTCATTTGGTATAAATGTATATAAATATGTATTATATACATATATATCTATATATATTTATATACATTTGGTATGGCTAATCAAACCTTCATTAGTTTTTAAAATAAAGCAAGAAAGAATTATTAAAAAAATAATGTCATTATTAACATTAAATATTTGTAAGAACCATGTATCATTAGTAATCAGGTCATTTTATCTCATGGGTATCATATGAGGTGTTTGTAGATGTGCCGGAAAGATGTTATGGGTACCAATAGATGGCGGAAATGGTTATTATGTCTTTACGCCAAGTGTAAATACTCGGGCCGGTGACAATGAGCAGTGTCAAAGGTGTGAGATATAATGCGATCGTCAACCTGAATCGTCCCAGCAGCACATGAGTAAAGAAGTCCTCACTCCTCACTCTGTGCCAGCAGTGCGCTGTAGCGGCGCTGTCGTCGCGCCACAAGCGAAATCCACCGAAGCCTAAATCACGCTATCAACATTCCGAATCATAAACAGTATATATAGAACTCCAAACTATCACATGGAGTGTTGGCCGCTCCCCGGGCAGAACACCTTGCCCGGCGGGAGATCTCCCCTTTTCCTTCCACGGCCACAGCGCTTTTACGGTGTGAAGAAAAAGAAGAAAAAAATTATCATACCGCATCGATTTCAGCTTCTGTTCTTAGTCTTGCAGAGATATAGGACAGTGGCGTAGTCGCAGACCCAAATCTGGAATACAGGATGTACATTATTTTTCTTCACCAAATATTCTTTACGTTGTTAGTGAACTTGTGTACACTCACGCTTGGATAACAGCTGCGAGGTTATTCCGAACATATTGGAAGACGATTTGAGTGTTGCCCTCGTTACCGCTTACGGCTGAATTAAAAGCGGTCGTGTAATCTTGTGGGCGTATTATGTAGTTATCCTGGACTATTGCGTTCAGGAACCTGTGAACAGTTAAAGTATAAAACGACTTTTTTTAATCTTACAGAGCAGTACAGTTTCCATACGTCACCTCAAAACAACAAAGAAAGAGACGTAAGTCTCGCCATTTGTTGGAAAAATTCAACGTATAATTTGTAATTTCGATTGTTGTCACTTGGTGAAACTACAGCTTAATTTTATTTGGATAAACACATAGTTTCAGAATATTTTAAATAATAGTATACCAATAGCCGCCGTAGAGTCTACATCACCTAAAGATGCCTCGTGTAGAGGCGAAACACGTGTCGTATTTTCGTCGATGGTGTGTCTTTCCTGGAATAGTGGTGTTGGGAGTAGTGGTGCCGGGAGTAGTGGTGTTGGGAGTAGTGGTGATGGGATCAGTGGTGACGGGATTAGTGCACGCAATTGTGGGAGGTCGGGAGGTACTCTTCAATCCAGGTAAGATAGATCATTGTATTTAATTAAGCGGATGGTTGCGAATTACATATTGGTATCTTTATTATGATGGATTTCCGCAAACTAACACCTGATTCTATCAATTAGTATCACAATATTTTACATAATTAATATACAAATAATAAACCGACCCTTTTTACCTCACGCATCATCAGGGTAACCTGATGATGATTACAGGGTCAACATTCACTTTCCCAACGAATAGAGACTTGTAAGAGCTTTGAGCACACATACAATGTAATTTCAAATCGTAAATATTTCATCACCATTACAGTCCCTAACACGTCCACTGCTAAAAATAGACCACCCCCAAGGAATGCCACAAAGTACGGTCCTGAGCCACTTACATCCATTTTTAATATTTATTCCTTCATAAAGAGCATATTTTTTATCTTACACCAGCGCATCGGGACATCAAGCGTTTCGATCTACCCTCTCTTTTAATCTGCAGCGCATCAGCTAAAAGTCCTGTTTATATAATAATACAGGTAAAGCGGAGCGGATACTTCCTTTCTAAGATTACTCTCAAAAGTTAGAGGAGACCTGTGCCCAGCTAAGGGACGTATATAAGCTGTAAGTCAACTTCCTAATAAAATAATAAATCGAAGTAACGGAATATCAACCATTCCTGTGAGATTTAACTATAACCATAACCTAAGAACGCGATTAACTGACCAACAAAAATAATAAAAAAAAACCTAATTCAAAATTCCACTACTCTTACAAGATTATTTGAAAAAAAAAACTCACGTATTAAGGGAATTATTATGAGGAGTACAACCCAGGACCATAAGAAGCTGAATTTTCTCAGTGTACACATTGTGTGTCTGGAAACGATTCCACAGGAAATTGAAATCTGCTTCAGTTCCGTCACGAAGACCATTGCAGTACACCCAGTTACGGCTGTTCACTGGAACTCTAGAATCAACCATTATCTTAACTATTGATTCATAACTACAGTTTTATTGATAACCTAATTAATTTACTTTTTTATATAATAGAGGTGCCAAAAGAGCACGCAGTTCACCTGATGGTAAGTGAATGCTGCGGCCGATAGACGTCTATCCTCGTTATCAGGTAAAATGCAGATACGTTGGTTTTCTACACTCACCAAACAAAACACTGAGCTGCTAAACTATTGAGCTATAAAACTATTGAGCTATAAAACTATTGGGCTATAAAACTATTGGGCTATAAAACTATTGAGCAGCTATTTTAATCTGGTATTCTGTGAGAGCGTGTTCGTCTCCCGGCTGAGCCGACCTATACGTATAACAACCATAATATAACTGCAGCATGGCATGGCATGGCAATTACTGCAACAGTAAGTAAATCTGACGTTCCATTAATAATTTTTTTGTACTTCACTACAGTCCTGGCAGACTGAACTGTTTATCCTATAACTTTTTTTAAATATGGACAAAAAATTAAACATACACACAAACGCCAAATACAATTTTGTATTTTATAATTTTCTTTTATAATATTTTGTCAACACGTCTGAAAATCACTCAAACTCAACACTGGCAGCCAACTGTAAATTAAAGAAAACTACATAAGTGTTAATATGATACTATGATCGCTAGAATTCAACACGCCTTTTTGTCTTTTGCTTGTTGGGTATGCAGATGACAGCTCAGTCACTGAAAGATCCATGTTCGTGTACAAAAGACGGAGGGACATTAATGCGTTTATTCAGAGAGACCATGGTGCAGCGGATAAATGCGACTCATCGTCATCGCTCCCAATGGGTTGGTGGCAATTTGGTCACTTTCAACGCCACTAAAACGCTGGCCTGTCTGGTCTCCGCAAAACGGAGTCTATTTGATTTGGCTCCTACTTTCCGACGTACACCGGTAGAGGTTACAGATAATCTAGAGGTTTTTAGCGTGCAGTTGAGTACTAACTTCAACTTTGGCGCTAACATTGAGTCAAAAGCACAAACTGTTGTCAAAAACTGGATATTCTAAACAAAGTGAACCGACAATTCACTGCTAGATAGATTCTAACTTTATATAAAGCTCAAGTCTGATCACGCATGAAGTATTATAGTCACCTTTAGGATGGCTCAGCAAAATATCAACTTGCCGCACTAGGCTTATTGGAACGCAGTTTCGAGAGGCTCATCGATAACGAAAAGCTGGTGGAAACTATTCTTCACAGCTTAACCCATCATCATCATCATCGCCACCCAGTTACTTATTTATCGGTCTTCTACAGATAGCACTTCGGAGAGAGTGCCTATGAGTTTCAAAAGTTCATACCGCTATCTCCATGCAGTATCAGATCAGAGTACCAGACATACTGCAGGTTACCATCCACACTTGGTTGACATTCCAAACAATCGCAGTAGGCGCTATAAGTCATCTTTTATAATGAGTACAGCCAGGAACTGGAATGCCGTACCAGCGTTAGTATTTTCGGTTGCGTATCACCTGAAACTCTTCAAGGTGCGAGTGAACAGACTTCTTATGTGACAACTAGTTTCATCGTAGACCTCAACTTAGCCTTAGGGACAAGTGGAGGTCAATTAAGAGTCCATTTCTAATAATAATGTGTTACTGGTATTTATAGAGTCTACAAGTAAATGTTCCGGATCTGGATTTTTGTCCTTATTCAATTTATGTATGCAAACTGCGTCGACGATTCAGGAGAAAATCCTAGTGTTGACTTTTTTGAAGAAAACAAAAAGCAGAATAAATTTCATTTCACGAATAAAGCAATTTATATTTTAAACTTTGCTATTACAACATAACACAAACTATAAAGACTTACTCAACACCATTTGAAACGAGCTCGCGGAACTGTAGATTAGCCGCATTCCTACATTCCTGTACGTTCATAGAGCATAAGACGGGCGCCAGTTGGTATCGAAGATACGACCGCATGAATGTTTCGCTAGGAATAGGGTAGTAAGTCAATCCAGTGATTGATGTATTAGCCCATCTTGCTATTTGCGCCTAAAATAAGCAAATGAAATAGAAGTGAATACGATTTGGTTTTTTTTATAGGATAGGGTGACAAACGAGCACACAGTCCACCTGATGGTAAGTGGTTGCTGTGGCCCATAGATATTTACATCTATCCTCGATTACGAATGAAAATGCAGAGTGAGAACTAAGATGGAATGCCTGGTTTAGAGTAAAAAGGGTCTCCGGTTCTCTACACTCGCCATACGAAACACAGCAGCATTAAGCTACTATTCTACGCTGGTATTCTGTGAGAGCGTGGTCCTTCCCTGTTGGAACAGACCCATTCGTGCTACAACTATACTATTAATATAACCGCAGCGTGGCTCTGCCACATGTTACCTTGTAGTGATCGTGTAAGATTATCCACTACCTCATATCATCCCGTGGGTGTCGTAAGAAAGGACATAAAAAAAGAAAATAAGATATAGAAAGCATCGTTTTTCTAATAACGACTACATTTAAAAACTGTGGTTGCTTACTCGCTTGTCAAGCGTGGCAGCTATAGAAAATATACCTCCTATGAGCCAATCCATGGGGGAGGCCTATGTTCAGCAGTGGACTTCAATAGGCGGTAACGGTAACGGTAACGACGAGGTAAGTCTGTTCGATTTACCGTGTAGCAGCGACGTAAGAGAATCCACTACATTATTTTGAATATTTCGCAGAGATGGAACAAGTGGCTGACAGAAGTTCCCTTAATATAATTTAAGAGAGCTTGAGAAGTTAATAATCTTTTAATCACGTCCCCAATCCGCTCAATGAAAGATGAAAGGTTCCAAATAATACAAAAACTTTCAATCTATTAATTTGTTTTGTAGCAAAAATAACAACAACAAAAGAGGAACAAGTAAAATACTTGCGGCATTTGCTCTAGTATTTATTGAGAATACTATACCAAATTTTATTTTGTATAAGTGGTGCTTGCAGAGGCAAGCTCAGCGTCCCTCGAACCTTGCGCCATAGGCTCCAACCTAGTTAGCCTATGGGTAAATCAGGCTTTACCGGTGGGCATCAGCAAGGCCTGATTTACCCATAGATATCTTTTCTTGATTAATAATAAATTTCCGATGCATTGTTCCTCCTGAGGACTAAGATGGAATGCCTAGTTGCCAGTAATAAGTGTATCTGGATCTCTACATTTATCATACAGAACTCAGCAGCGTTATGCTGGTATTCTCTGAGCTTTGTGTATGGTGTCTTTGACAATCTTAAATCAACATATAAATATAATTGAAGTATCTGTATAGAATATCAAAAGAACTGCCTAATAATAAGCTTAGTTGGTTATTAGTTTTATATGTGGTAGAGCCACGTTACAGCTATATTATGGTTGTAGCACTAATGGGTCGGCTCGACCGGGGGAAGGACCACACTCTCACAGGATACCAGCGCAAAATAACAGCTTGATACTGCTGTGTTTCGTATGCTGAGTGTAGAGATCCGGAGACCCTTTTTTACTGGAAACGAGACGTTATATCTTATTCCTCAGGGGTGATAACGGATCTACGTTTTAATTCTTAATCGAGGGTAAATGTAAATTTCTATGGGCCACAGCATCCACTTACCATCAAGTGAACTGTGTGCTCGTTTGTCACCCTTGTTCTATAAAAAATATATATATGACATTAAAACATAAATAAACATTTTTAAAACTTGTGTCTGACTGTCCGGGCTCCATAATGGCTGAACCGATTATAACAAAACATCACAAACAGATAGAGAAAAATACCAGGACTGATCTAGGTTATACTGTATCCGAAACTTAGAGAGTTTTAAAAAAAAACTAAATATTTATAAAATAAGCGGTCTTTGATAATAAACTTAAATCTGAATAACGTCACATTAATAGGCCCTACCCAGACGAAACCGAGGCCGATTGCTAGTTTAAAATATAATAAACACTAACCTCCAGGAGAGCCAAATTCGTAGTTCCAGCTAATCTGTTCCTTATCCAAGAGAAACCTGTTATAGCAGCCAACCATGGCGCATATTCTGTCTCATATTGTAAGAATGAGAGAATTTCGAATGCTCTAGAGTATTTCATAAGCCCTGAACGAGCGAATTGGAATACGTCGTTTACGATCTGTAACAAATAAACTTTGTCATTCGTGACACTGAGCACGTCTCAGAAAAACTCAAGGGATATGAATTTTAAAATTTCATGAGACTTGTAGTGGTGGTGTAAGGATATCCACGACCCCGTATTATCATGTGCGTATCGTAAGAAGCGACAGAGGGAAATAAACGAAGAGATGGGCGACAACGTGTAAGGAACGCGCTGCCGCTGATCTTCTAGTTTAATAACAACTAGACAGTAAAAACTGCGGTTCCGAACCTGCCTGCCAAGCGTTATAACTGTGGCAAATATCCACCCTACGAGGCACTCCATGGAAGAGGCTATCTTCAGCAGTGGAGTAGTAAATGTCCTTCAGACCAAATATCGGTCACGGCGGTTAGACTCAATGGAGGCTAGCCATCGGCGCAAGACAGATGAGAGAGTCTGAGAACTTCTTGATAGAAAAACTCAATTACTGTTTTTTGGCTTGACCCGGGATTCAAACACCCGGGTTCAGTGATCAGCAGTCGCACTACTACAATCACTAGACCAAACAAGGCAGTCGCTGTAATAATCGAGTTTAATCCCTCCCGGCACCAATAAAATTGTCCCTTGTAATTTTAAAAGCTTATTTCTCGTATATGCTCTGCAATAAAGGAAAGCTTTGTAAAGTAAGAAACAATAAAAATGAAAAGATGAGAAGTTCGCCAACACACAAAAGGTCTGCGTAGCATTCTCTGTGCTTCTCCGAAAAAATTCATGTAAATAAGAGGAATCGTAGTATGACCAGTATGACTTATATGACTACATTTTATTTTACTTCATATAACTGTTGCTAAAGCTATGGTTACACACAGTGACTTGCATGCGCAAAAAATTTTTGCAAATAATTTACGCAAACAAAATACTGCACTGCACAACTTACACACAATAGCGTCTTGCATTCGCAGTTTGTATAAATTTTTAGTAAAAAAAATACGTGTGTCGTCCACATGCCGTACATAATTTCTTTTGCAATTTTAGTTTGAGCCAAATAAGCCTTTGTGCAAGCCTTGCGCAGTACACTGTTTTGCCGGCTTAACGAACATGCTTGCTTGTGCAAATTAGAATTTGTGCAAATAAGATTGAGCGTGTAGCCGGGCATTAAAACACCTTTATTCGGATAAATTTTTTGATTATAACTACTGTTTGAAAAACAAAATGTCGTACCTGTGCTCTATTATACTCATGTATGTTTAGTCTATCAGATCCTCTCAAAGCAATTATAATGAGATTCCAAGTATAATCATCATAGTTGACCCTGTAGAAACCTAAAATTTCGAAAGTTTATTAGTTAACTAATATATACTCGTATATACGAAAATAAGCATTGCTTTTGAAACTTACCTGTTTGTTGTTTATTAAATATAACCCACTGGTCTCCAGTGGAACCACGGTTGATTACGGAGACAGAGTTTCCAATTATATGTGTTGGTTTAGTGTTCACAAAGTCAGGGTTGCTGGCGGTCGCGAAAGTTATAGGAATGATGTAGTTAGTATTGACTGAGGAATAGCCAGTGTTAATGTTGAAACGACGCTTGAAGAAGAAACAACAAACAATTAGTAAACTGATATATCTACGCTGCACTTAAATCTATATTATGATAGTTCTTGCACCTTCTCAAAGTGATATTTCAAACGATATTCATTTGAGCTTTTACTGAATCACACAATGTTAACAAAAGATTGACTATAGAATCATCAGTAGTTATTAAAAATAAAATGTATGTTTCGCATAGTAATTTAAGTTTCACCGCTTAAAGATGAACTATGGATATTGCATAATATTCAATAGCAATCAATAGCAACAAAATCTTTGAATGATAAAAAATCGTAATAATATTAATATTGTGAAACAGCTCACATAACAGCTACACTAGTGTAAAAATAGTAACATTTAACCCTGTGTTTCGTATGGTGAGTGTAGAGAACCGGAGACCCTATTTACTGAAAACGAGGCATTCCATCTTAGTCCTCACGGGTGACAACGCATCTACATTTTGATTCGTAATTGAGGATAGATGTAGATGTCTATGGTCCACAGCAACCATTTATCATCAAGTGGACTGTGTGCTCGTTTGTTACCCCATCCTATAAAAAAATTATTTCACAATTCTAACAATTCTAAAGTCTTACAAATCTTACAAGTTTCTTAAACCAGATATTTACCTGTGTGATAGTCATATCCCCAGTCTGATGATTGACATTTACGGTTAATAAAGGATGTCCGGCTTGATCAGTCCAACTTCTGTAGTATTCAATAAAATCGAAAGTGGATCCGTAAGCTGAGAGAGCGCCGGATGAATTTCCTACTTCTTGTAACGCTTGGAAGAGATTAATTGGCAAAGCGGTATCATAAGCCCTATGAAATTAAATTTAATCTGTTTTTAATATGAAAATTTCAAAGATTCTCAAATATTAAATCCATAATAATATACTGATTGAGTTTTTTACCATCTGGAAAATAATATGGTGTTTTGTGTAAGTGGAATAGAAGCTATCCTCTATTTGTAAAATATAACTGATAGGCAAAATTTCTGAATATCCAAAAATTGACACAAAAATAATTCATCCTAGGGCATTTGCGTAAAACTGTAGGTGATATTATTTTAAACGGCGCGTCGTAGGCTACAATTGCTAATGAATAAAAGTTGTAAGTGTGAGCAAGACGCATGCACATTTCTTTCGGTAGACCGTAGAATAAATAATAGTACCACATACAGAAGTTGCACTCCTTTGATATTGACTGCTTGTCGAAGTTTAATAGCCTACATAATTATTATTAATTAGATAAATCGCCATGCAAGAAATAAAACTTTATCGCTGAGTGCGAGTGTCCGTTATTACTTTGCATGTTTTCCCCAGCCTACGTCACGGTGGACTTTCCGTGGTT